TTCCCCATAACGACACTATAACAATAATATTTAATGCGGCTCCCTCTCGATTTCATTCACCTAACTTCAGTCTCTGAGTCAAATCTAATCTTAATTGGTGCTGTGATCCTGTCTGTTCTGATTTCAATGGAAAGCCTATCTAATGAGGCCTCGTACACTACACATTCATCTTCAACGCTGTCCCATTGCTGACGTACCTCAAGACCACGACGCTCTCCGTAATTGGTTGACTTCTCGATTCGCTCTCAAGGATAAGTAAGACCTCTATGACTGTAGGATGGACTTGTATGCGTGGTAATGGTTAATTTGGTTATGCAAATCACTTTATCCGTGATCCGTTCACTAAATCTAGAAAAGGCTTCGTGGAAATGTTTGTTTGTACGTAATCTCAGTACTTAGTTAGTACATGTGGGTTTGTCTCGTATAAAATATTCCTCTTCCATAGGTTGTTCGCAGACCTCGAAGAGGTGAAGAAAAACAGGCAAAGACAACCAAACGTGGATGAAGTTAAGGATGCTTTTCTGAATAACCTATCCATCAGTAAAGTGCCTAATGGTTTCGACGAGCTTCCCCGTTTGCGGCGTCGGTGGCTCTTCACTGCCTTCATCTGCTTAGCCACAGTCACTGCCTTCCTTCTCTTTGTTCATCCTTGGCTTCGATATGCCTATTTTGGCAGCGTGGTTGGTGCAACGCTGCTCGGAATTCCCTATGTCTGGCTGACCGTTTAGTGGGACGTTGTTCTCCGCTCAAAGCTCATACTCTCTATAAGTTGATTGAAATGTGTTTCTTCCAGGATCAATACTAGCAAGACTTATAGTGAAGCATCGTTGTGTAACTACATGTCAAGAATCTCCACGCTCATCCACATTGATCTTAAATACTGTAATTGCTATTTTCTAGAGTCTTGACTATTCATTAAACCTGCAGAAATTATTCGCGATCTGGGATACCTGGTGGGCGTCTGCGGGCTAAAGTAACCCGACGGGTGGGCGTTAGCTAGTGCGGGGTTCTAGTCTGTTTGGTCGTCCTCGTGGTGGTAG